TCTAATTTTAGAACAATCTATCGAGTTTACGACTATAAAACTAAACAGTAAATTTCAAATCAATAATATTTAACATGACAATCTCGTTTTGATCATTAACTAGTGCTAATTGTAACGGAGACCGTTACAGATGTTCCCCAAACGCTCCCCAACTCCCTTTTGGTGCCATATTCCCTGTAAGCTCCATTAAAAAAGACAAACTGTGTGCATGTGCAAGATGATCATACCTTCTTGTAGGAGTCCCTTATATCTATCTATGTTCTAAATCCCATCCTGTTTGGATGAAAACCAAGGGAGTTATAGCCATTTAAAGTTTCAGCCAATCAGATTGCAGCACACGTGCAATCGCGTGATTTCATGAAAATTTTTCAATGCCATATTGTAGGATATCCTAATGCATGACTATGTTTTAAATTTCAAACCATTTCGTCAAAAAACAAAGGAGATATAGCCATTTAAAGTTTCAGCCAATCAGATTGCAGCACATGTGCAATCGCGTGATTTCATGATTTTTTTTTCTGCCATATTGTAGGATATCCTAATACATGACTATGTTTTAAATTTCAAACCATTTCTTCAAAATACAAAGGAGATATAGCCATTTCAAGTTTCAGCCAATCAGATTGCAGCGCACGTGCATGCACGTGTTTTCATGATAATTTCTATATATCATGTTGTAGGATATCCTAATGCATGGCTATGTTCAAAATTTCAAAGGATTTCGTCAAAAAACAAGAAAGATATTGAGACTTTAGTGTTAGCCAATCAGATTGCAGCGCACGTGCATGCGCGTGAGATCTTGCTATTTTTACCATGTTATCTTGTCTATATTACTAATATATCCTTACATTATGAGTTTCAAAGCATTTCATCAAAAATTAAAAAAGTTACGCCTATATCAATTAAATCGGTCGTTTCACTGTTGCACGTGCGCGCTCTTGCAAGCAAGTGCGCGCAAAATGACCTTTGTTCGGCAAATCTACATAACATGTCTACTGACCCTAAAAACATTTTACCTTAGTCGGATGTGTAGTTTACAAGATCACTCGCGGACAAAATTTTCCCAGGAAGAAAAATAATAATAATGATAAGAAACAGAGTAAAAACAATATGTTCCCCAACTTCGTTTGGGGAACATAATTAAGCGCAACATGAACTTAATCTTAAACCACATTATGAAAAATAAAAAATTCAATTTTGTCAAAAATCAATAAAGCAAAACGATATTTAAAGTTGATCTCTAACTAATCACGATACATTTACATGCCAAAATCAGCTCAAAATCTACAAATGTTTAGTAAAAAAGGGCGAAAAAAACAAGTAGGACACACTGACAGACGGACAAGGGGACAGCTATAGACGGACTCAGAGGAAACCTAAAGTCCCCTTTGGTTTCACCGGTGGGGGACTAATAATATCAAGTTGCTACAGTATGTCTACTGAGAAATCATTGGTGAGGTACAAGAACCCACATCTTCTGCATGTTTTTTAAACTTTTAAAAAAGTAAATAAGAGTACATTAACTTTCAAGAAAACGTCTTTCTCAATAACAACTGATGCACATTTGTTTAAAGAACACATACATTTTTTACGCAGATTACGTCTTTGACAACAACAAGAGATGCATGTCCTTACAATGCACAAACGGAAGTCGAGAGTATTTATTACAACCCTGCGCAGGCTATCTATATAGAATATGTCAGAATGCAAGTATGTAAAATATTTCATTTTGATTTATTTTGAATATGTCATACATGGTTCGTGTAACACTTAATAATTCAAAGAAGATGAGGGGATAATGCGGACAAAGTGTCTATAGTGCTGCAGATAAGAAGTGAAAACTTATTTTTCAATTATATCTATTTTATTTTATAATTCATCCAATATCAAAGTATACTTAATGTAGAATCTTTACAATTTACCAAAATCCCACAAAGACAGAAAAAATTGCCTATGAAAAAGCACACACACACGAAAAAGAACAAAACGATCATTTTCTCATACTTTAACATTTTTTTTTAATATGAATGGGTCTTCGCTCAATTTTTGGAAAGATAATACTAAAAATTTACAAAAATGTATACTTTTTTTGGTTTACAAACCCACTATACCTTAAAAGTACACTTGTATGGCAAAATATTAGCATCTTTCCGAGAAACACTTCAAGTCAATTAAGTCAAGGGTTAAATCACAAACATGATTTAAATGGCCGATTTCGTCATAAGCCATGTAGCAAAGTGGTAAAAGCGTTAGTCTCAAAACAGTACGATGCTTCGGATTTTTACTGCTAGGGGGTTCGCATCCCACGAATACCGTCTAATGTTTTTATAAAAGAATTTTTTACGAGACTTTTTTTTCTCCTAGTAAATTTTTTTTCTCATAATTTCATAAATTTCAATAATGAAAAATTAATTTTAATACCCAATTCACACATTGAATATGATTTTTTTTTTTATATCTGACGCTAAAGGCATTCTGCCCGCCTTGTTCCCCAAATTCTTTGAAAATGATTTAGAGTTTTAGAATGTTAATATATTAGTTCAAATTTCTAAATTTCAAAAACTCAAACTAATTTGGCATATAGAAATTTAATATTTTAGAGAAAAAATCTAAATTTTCAAAGAGCTAGGGTGTTGCAGTTGTTTTTTATTATTTTCTTTAAATGTGTAGCAGATTAAAAGAAAAAAAATTATGTTACCGAAACTGATAATTATTTTACTCAAATGCAACAGTATATAAAGCACAATGAGGAACAATTTTTGATAGCTCCGTATTGACTTCCAATTTGCCATAAAATGAAGGTTAAAGTAGTCTCACAACAAAATATATCAGATTGTTCATTTTTAAAATAGGGAAATCCCATTATTCTGAAAAATTGCCTCCTTGAAACAGAATAATCTTGATATCTGCACAAAGAGGCAGGAATTTTCATTAAAACTGCCATTTCCGATTTTTATTTCGAAGAGGCAATTTTTTTTAAAAACGCCAAAATTGAATAAAAATTATTCTCCATACGAAATGCAAAATGTGTACATTAAATAACCGTATGCTATCATCGTGTACAAAATGGTCTAGTGGATACGCTGATGGACTGCTATTAAATACTTTTACCAAAGCATTGGTTGGAATCCTGGAGAGGGTTATTTTTGCTTTTTTTTCTTAATTTTTTTCCAATTTCTTTTTGCTATGAAAATGCAATCCTTGTGAATTATATCTTTTTTTTTAAAGAGAGAGAGTGCGCACGCGAGAGAGAAAGAGAATGTCAAGAAGTTAATGAGTAACTATATGATAAACATGCAAGTTTAAATTTTTTCCTGTAACTTAAAACTAATGACATAATGCTTTATTTAGTTTTATCTTGGAAAATAAAGTACTGTTAAAATATTTATTTTTTTTACATACAGTTGTTTACTCACTTTGATTCATATTCGGTCTGTTCTTTAGTAGCTCAGATTTGATTGAAAACAAACGGAATGTTTTGGATGTAGCACTAAAAGTGTGAATATGGGACAATTTATTTCATGAAAACTATTTTTGCACGATGTCTACAGAATATCTAACTTTCAAAATGCTGTGCAAGGTGCACCAGGCATTGTTTTTTTTTTTATTGTTCTAACATTCCTCGTGCAAAATGGCGATATACATGATTTTAACAATTAATAAAATGAAAAGTATACTATTAACGTTCACTAAACGGTTGCCTGTCAATTCCTATGTGACAGTGAGGAAAAACTATGGATAATATAACCATAAAATGTGAAGCAGGGAATACCCGCCGTAAACACAGTCTTCTACGTAGCTATACCTATATTTAGACATAACGCAGGTATTTAAATGTCCTTCTCGAGGAATAGGTAATAATCGCGAGTTTCTGCCACACCCTTTTTCCAAACAGGTTCTAGAATTTTAAGTTTTTAGACTTTTATCTTAAACATTCAAAATTCAAATTTCCAAAAACAAATCTTGTATTTTAAACTTTTGAGTTTTTAATCTACCATTTGTTTAGAAAGTTTACTATTAACAATCTAAAGTTCAGTACAGTTTAACGACTTTTGGTATTTCAAAATTTTCTTCAAACTTCTAAAGTTAAACTTCCAAAGCGTTTAAGATTTTTTTTGAAATTTAGAATATCGATTCAAACATTCAAACCAAAACACTTGAAGTTTTTAAATATTTACTTCAATTATCCAAAATATCAAATTCAAAACCTGGTTTGACTTTTGAAACTATTTCAAACACTTTTTTGGTTAAGCAAAAGAGCTTTTCGATAGTTAGAATATTGAACTGATTCAATATAATAGTAATTCAAATGGGGTTTGCAAGTTTGATATTTTGGATATTTAAGATAAATTTCGAAAACCCAAAGTGTTTAGGTTATTTGAAATTAGAACATTTGAATCAAAATTCCAAAATTCTAAAAATCTAAAACTTTTCAAAGTTAGACTTTAGACGTTTAAGTTAATTTATAAGTAATCAAAAGACGAGAAAAATTACCGAACTTTAGATTGTAAAGTGTAAACTTCTGAACAAACGATAGACTAAAAACTCAAAAGTTTAAAATACTAGAAAATTAAATGTTTAAGGTAAAAATCTAAAAAAAAAAAAAAAAAAAAAAAAAAAAAACAAACTTAAAATTCTAAAACCTGTATGGAAATTTGAAAATTTAGATTTTTGAACTAAAATATTAAATTTCAATATATAAATTTCAGTTTGTGTTTTTGAAATTTAGAAATTTGAACTAATATATTAACATTCTAAAATCTAAATCATTTTTAGAATTTGAATTGTTAAGTGAACACGGATCATTCATCTCCACATAAATAATGCACATGCTTAAAAAGATCATATATAATTTTCTTTTCATAGACGCATCAAAAGGAAATGCTTTTAGCTGGACTATTTCAATGCATTTTTGTAAAAATTCAACATTTTCTTCCTACCTCTATGGAAATCTTGATTTGAAAAATGCAAGTGGATCCTGCCAAAAAATACCTCCAGGAAAAGATTTAAGATGGATAGGGATAGCTAGACAGGAGTACACATATGAAGATCAAGGTTGGTTTCATTTAAAACTATCTGCTCTATATTCAAAAAATGCTACAGTAAACAAAAGTTTGCGAAAGTAAATCGATATTTACATTTTAATACAGAAATACGTAAATAAAAGTCTTTTAAATACAGTGAGATTTATTTCATTTTCTGACAACAATTCTTAAATGTCATTTTTTTTAAATCAAAAGAAAAGACTATACTTGTCAAAATTTCTAAGTCCCCACTTTTATTTTTTTTTTTTCAAAAAGTTAAAAACCTGAAGGTCAATTTACTAGTTGCTTACAAAATTATCTTTAATTTGAATACTTACCTGTCAAGGCAAATATAATTGTAATCGAATGTGTAACTACTCGACCGTGACCGTTTTAGCGGAACTAGAGGACAACCTAGTCTCCACATGGAAAAACATTCAATAAAAGATTTTTTCTTAAATACGAGGGGTTACCAAATTGTCCGTGGACTAGCGTCATAAAATTAAAACCGCTTTAAGGACATACGCAACGTTCCTTACCTACTGATAGTTTTTCAAGATATTCTAAATTCAAACTTATGATATCATTACATGTTCTTAGATAAAAAATCAGCATGCGTTACCAGGGCTTTTGAAAAGATATCGAATTTTGAAAATATTTCCATTATTCAAATAAAAATGTACAAAAATTATAAAACATGAATTCCAGATTTTTTTTCATCAAAAATTGTTTTAGAAGAGGTGAACAAATCCATATATAGACATTAAAACTATTGCACACAGGTCCTTCATTTAGTGGAACTCTTCAAATCCGGGGAAGATTCACAAAAAGTTCAAACTACGTTGCGTGTGACCCTAAGCACATTAATGAATTTTAAAATATCTAGTAAGCATCATCTTTTCTATCTAAAGAATAAACCATAAATCATAATTTTTAAAAATAAATTAGTGATGTTTTTGTAAGCAATGGTATGTCCAGGCGGCGCAACCTCGAACACGACGTTTTTGCGACCTATGTGTCACTGAGAAAAACTCTTTTGATATGGTCATTTGACATCCAAAAATCCCGTTAAAACAGGTATGTGTCTGGACACAATTTTTCCATAAAATACGAAATTTTAACGTCATTCTGGAAGTTCTATAAAATTTTATCGCAAATTTTACACGGAATGTCCAAACAAATGAGGTCTTGAAAATGACGTCAAAGGGGGGGGGGGTCCGTTTCCAACATTCTATAAAGTTTTGCACCTAAAAAACTGGTATAGACCTAAAATATGTTGAAACTGGCTACAGAAAAATAAAATGCATCCAGACGACTTGTCTTTTAATGTCAAAATAGATTCAGAGAGAAAAAGGGATACACAGTTAATGTCGTTGTGCAGTCAAGGAGTGAAAAATCAATCACGTCAAAAAATGACGTTGATCATGCGTTGTAGATATTGACCTCCCACAAGCAAAAATGCCGTCACAATTAAGCGCGGTTCTCTCCCAATTTATTAATTTATTTGGAATATTATATTCATTGAAGATTAGTGAGGTTATGAACTACGACGCTTCACGCCGGCATATTTCATGAAGCATGATAAATATGCCGGCGTGAAGCGGTGTAGTTTATATATCTCACGAATCTTCAAAAATTAAATTAATTTCTTATATTTACGTTATTTTTCTGATGACTTGTCATAAATTTACACCATTCAACTGTCATCTTTAAAGCAAAATAGTGTGCACTATATATATATTTTTTACGCCAAGTGCGTTATTATGACGTTACAATTGAGATATTCATGCTTAATCGTGGTATAAATGTAATGTAGCTCATGAGAAAATGAAATGCATTTTATTTTTTAAAGAATCATAGGAGAAATTTACTGGAAATGTAAATATTTTAAAATAATTATCATTCACAAAAATAAACTAAACTAACTATCGTAAGTTATATTTAACATCAGAAAAACTTGGCTAAGGTAAGAGTGTGAACACCTGCAAGCTTTGAAATGTGTATTCGCACCGTACAAATGATTGTGTAGTATCACGTTTGCGCAGAAGAGACTGTATTGTTACACTTTAAAAAATGCGTTCTTCATGTGATCAACTAAGTCTACTAAAACACCCTGTAAAAGAACTGTCTGCAATTATATTGAATTTTGATGCTTTTCATATTTAAATATGTATAAACAATTTAAGTTTAAAGAAAAATCCAAAGTTTTCAAAATTACAAAACTTTAAACAGAGCTTAAGAGATACAACCAAACACAGTTGAAAGATAACATTGTTAACTAAGAATCTAAAAAGAATACATTTTGATTTTTAGAAATGACCGGATATTTTATACATTGAGGGTATTCATGGTCTCGGATATAAAGGCGGCTTTGCCATTGCCTTGCCAACTACGTATACGCCTGCGCAAAATCAAACAAGCTCGGATTCGACATGAAATATTCCCAATGAGACGTCCAAGGTTATTTTGGGAATAATTTCTATTCTTTTTACAGTGCTTCAGCAAGTTCTTTGGCATTGACAGGATGTTGTTGACTTTGGCGTAGCCACTTTCCACGCATGTACCAGACGATCGCGAGCTCGATGGAGAAAGCTGGTCATAATAATAAGTTTATATTCTGATTTTAGTGATAAGCCCTACCTCTGCCACATTTGGCATTGTCATTTTGAAAAATGAAACTGCAGTCAGAAGTCAATAGGCATAACATACGGTGCCAAGATGTTGTCCCGGTAGTACTGCCCTGTGATACCTCAAGCAACAACATGCAATTCTGTTTTGCAAGGAACATGATGCCTTCCCACCATTACAGTCCACTCTAATACATGTACGTAGAGATCATGTCTAATAAGTTAACGTCATGGAAAGGTTCGTTTCGTCAGCGTTTAAATCGTCTGAGTCTGCATGTCAAGGAATATTAACGAAGTCCACAATATGAACGTGGACTCATCAAAGAGCATAACATGGTTTCGTCAACAAGTATTGATTGTGACATGACCATTGGAATCAGGCCCTAATGTGACGATTCCTTAACCTGAAAATAATACGAGAACGTCAGCTTTGCTAGGTGGGTCTGTACAGTCGACTCCTGATGGTCTCGTAACTTACTACATGTAGTAAGCCAGTATCCCCTAAATAAATAAAAGAGGAATAATATTTTTTGACACAGATAAAAATGCTTTAATTTTTCAAGGTAAAGAAATTAAATCAGTATTGCTCACAAAAGCCAAAATAAATAAATAAATAAATATATTTTCATAATTTTATCAATATGTTGTGTCTAGTTATTAAATGTTTTTAATCAGCCTTTATTAATAAGAACAGCAATTTTTTGCACGGAAGTTTCGCCAGTGGTGTGTATACACAGTTAAACACAGGCAACTGTCAAGCCTGAGCTGAAAAACCTCCCAAATCACATAGAATATACAAAAAATACACAAACACAGTAGCAGGTGTCTTCGCGGCACGTGTCTCTACTTGTGACACGTGCGGACAGGTGCCCGTGACTACGAGGCTCATCGCAGTTCGCAGTTCGCAAACTATCTCCATATGTATAAAACCACAATGAAAATTAGAATGAAATTCGGAAATTCGGTTTGTGACCTCACATTGTGAAATGACGTCACTATGTAGGTCACTTGTGCCGAAAAATGGTTGTGTCATTCGAACTCGTTCAACAAACGACTGTACAATTTATTGTATATCTTAGAAATCCCTCTGCAGTATCATTTAATAATTTGTACACAGTTTATTAACTAAAGATATATGAGTTTCTATAAATTCGATTAATGATTGGATTGATCTTTGTCATCTTGCCCAGAAAAGCAAGTTTAAAAAGATATGTGTTTTTAATTAAGCAATTTGTTATCAAAGACCTCCAATTTACACTTTGAAAAAATAGTTGAATATTTGAACAATAATATAATTATTAAATACCAAAGATATCGTTTACGTTAGATTTTAAACATATTATATATGATAAAAAGGAGGCATCCATTCTCTATCCACCTTGAACAAAGGTCTCTCCAGAGACAGAAGATTTGTGTTTAAATGGTCGCCATGCTTATTTTTGGATAGGATATTCTTATCCACCCATTCTGTTGCCGATATTTGACCATTTCTGACAAATTAACTGTTCTTGTTATAAAAATTAACTCACATGGAAAGAAGTATAAAACTCAGAAAAATCTTTCAACTTTTGTGACAGAACGCTACGGAAGGGGTCCCGTGACCGCCAATATCACGCGATTCGCGAATGCGTAGGACGGTGGTTGATGTTTATTAAATTCGGAGAGGATTAATTTAAAATATAATCAACATTGAAACCAAATATTGCTTCTTTTATGGAAGTCATTCAGTTAGTTCGCGAAATTTTTGTTCACCCCTCATATACAACGCGATTTCGTATCCTTTTGTATATGTGATTATTTTGATCACAAACAACAGTATATCATACCGTTTTAAAGACTTTGTTTACAGAATATTATTTAATTACTTTTATCGGTCCAGTCCCTGTCTAGCACTCTAGCACATAAGGAGGTCTAGCACATAAGGAGTTCTTCAAATAAAAAAATTCATAGTTCCCAATTGATTAGATTTAGTCAAGAGTCTTACTAGTCATATTGCATTTCCATTTAAATTTTACTTAATATTGATGAGCTAGATTGGTCTACTTTTTTTTCAATTCCAGTTAAGATCAGTGAGCAAAGTCATAATTCCTCGCACCAACATCAAATCAACTTTGTTTTATCGAAATAATTTAGTTCTTCACAGAAATTATCTTTTCAAGTTATAAAATCATTGTACAATTGACGTCCATTCTTTTTTAGCTCACCTGAGCCGAAGGCTCAAGTGAGCTTTTCCGATCACATTTTGTCCGTCGTCCGTCCGTCTGTCTGTCTAGCTGTCCGTCTGGCCGTCTGTAAACTTTTCACATTTTCGACTTCTTCTCAAGAACCACTGTGCCAATTTTGACCAAACTTGGTACAAAGCATCCTTGGGTGAAGGGAAATTTAAATTATTAAAATAAAGGGCCAAGTCCCCTCACAAGAGGAGATAATCAAGAAAAGACAAAAATAGGGTAGGGTCATTAAAAAATCTTCTTCTCAAGAACCACTGGGCCAGAAAAGCTGAAACTTATGTGGAAGCATCCTGGGGTAGTGTAGATTCTAAATTGTTCAAATCATGACCCCCGGGGGAAGGGCGGGGCCATTATAGGCTATCAAACTTTTACATAGAAATATATAGGAAAAATCTTTGAAAATCTTCTTCTCAAGAACCACTAGGCCAGAAAAGCTGAAACTTATGTGGAAGCATCCTGGTATAGTGTGGATTCTAAATTGTTCAAATCATGACCCCCAGGGGAAGGGTGGGGCCACAATGGGGAATCAAAGTTTTACATAGGAATATATAGGAAAAATCTTTGAAAATCTTCTTTTCAAGAACCACTTGGCCAGAAAAGCTGAAACTTATGTGGAAGCATCCTGGTATAGTGTGGATTCTAAATTGTTCAAATCATGACCCCCAGGGGAAGGGTGGGGCCACAATGGGGAATCAAAGTTTTCCATAGGAATATATAGGAAAAATCTTTGAAAATCTTCTTCTCAAGAACCACTGGGCCAGAAAAGCTGACACTTATGTGGAAGCATCCTGGGGTAGTGTAAATTCTAAATTTTTAAAACCATGACCCCCGGGGGAAGGGCGGGGCCACAATGGGGAATCAAAGTTTTACATAGGAATATATAGGAAAAATCTTTGAAAATCTCCTTCTCAATAACCACTAGGCCAGAAAAGCTGAAACTTATGTGGAAGCATCCGTGGGTAGTGTAGATTCTAAATTGTTCAAATCATGACCTCCGGGGGAAGGGAGGGGCCACAATGGGGAATCAAAGTTTAACATAGAAATATATAGGAAAAATCTTTGAAAATCTTCTTAAGAACCACCGTGCCAGAAAAGTTGAAACTTATTTGCACATGGAAGGATCCTGGGGTAGTGTAGATTTCAAAATGTCTGAATTATGATCAGTGGGGTAGGGTGGGGAGGAATTATGTATTACAAGGAGGAAATCTGGTAAAGAACAGAATGGTCAAAGCTTCTCAGGTGAGCGATGTGGCCCATGGGCCTCTTGTTAATAAACTCTTAATGTTTAACTTTCACTTACTACTATTAATATATTAAATTTAAAAGATTATGATATATATGTATTCCACTTTCGTATTGTGCAGATAAAATTTTCATTTGAAACCTGAAAGGGTTACAGTTTAATGTCTGATTGAAATTGATTTTCAGTTTTGTCATCTGTAAAAAGAAGAGACAAACAGACTGTTTGAACAAAAAAGTGAAAGTCGGTGTTCATAACCATTTGATCACTTCTGAGCATTTAATTTCCCTGTCCCCTGCAGCATAGTATCATACGATATACATTCGAGGATTGTTCGGAAAGTTTTTGGACTTCTGTCATGTTTTTATTAAAATATTATTCCAACAACAAAATCAAAAGATTTATATTAAAAAAAATAATAGTACATTGTATCATGATTTCTTTTCAAACTAACCCAGAATTAAATACCGAAAAATCGGATCGCTGTGCAGGTCAAGATTTAGTAATTTACAACATCATTGAAATACATAAGTGCTTCAGAGTTGCACAGTTAAGTGGTAAAAGAAATTATTATACCTCTACTGATTTTTTCCTATATAAAAAGTAAGGCAGTAAAATGTGAATAATTCCCTAGAAATTTCAGTGAATGGACTGAATCCTCCTGGGTTACTAAAATGAGCAAATCCCTGCTTCAGAAGCTAATTCCCCGGTTATCCGTAATCCTATCGATTTTACTTTTGTATCGGACTAATTCCCCGTGCGTTAGTTTTGAAGCTAATTCCCTTCCATTCGTAATACTCTATATGTATTGGTATTATAAAACAGTTAAAAAGTATATCATTGAGGGAGTTAGGAAGAATCCAGTTCCCCTCGACAAAGATTATATTCCTCGGCGCCGGACTTTACCTGTAAACCAACACATTGATGAAGGAATCATACAATAAAAACACTTGAAAAATAAACGCTAAGTGACAGGGATAGGATTTTGATAAGTGGTTATTTGATTATACTGTGTGAAATGTATAAGGATAGTATTTTTTAAAATTCTTGACGCTATGTTTTCGACGTTACATTGACGTTAAGTATGCTAGGTGGTTATAATACACCTTGATTTTAAAATAAAGTAAATTGATTTCCATCAAATCGAATGGAATGAAACTCAACAGAACAAATATTTTACACATAGTGTGCTTATTTTAAATTTCTTGAATGTAATGAAAAGAAGATTGACATCATCCACGCATTTTTCGAACAACCCTCGTACATGTTTGAGTATCGTCAAAAGATATTTCCTCAAAAAATATTAATATGTATATTCTAAAACATAAAAAATGATACTAATTAGGTATTCAAACAAAGACAGTTCTAAGACGTTGCAGCAACCACTAATGATAAAAAACCGCTTAATCGTTACTGTTAAATAATATGATCATACGACAATCATATATTTACGTATTTGAGGAACGTCAAAAGATATACCAAAAGGAAAAAGAAACGCTGGGTTGCATAATATTCGAAATTTTTTTGACGGTTGAGTTACCCGTTGTTGCCTTTTTTATTAATTAGGCAATTCGAAAACCAGACACCATGGAACTTACTTAAACTGTTACCAGATTGCTAGAAATTTGAATCGTCTCTAAATATCGGTATTGAAAACCGATGTGTATACCTCAAGTGCATCAAATGGTGCAACAAGATTTGATGACAAGCTAGTCGTCATCACACTGCACGTATTTAGCGTTTTCCCTACGTAACGTCATACATTTTACTGTTGAGTAATTCTGAACACAGATTTTGGTGCATAGTTACTAAATTTCTCATCTGACCAAATTTCCTAATTTTCGGTCTTGCGGTCAAAATATTTCGAATATAATGCTACCCTGCGTTTCTGTTTCCTTTCAGTGTACTAAAGCCAATGAATATATTCAATTCATTCATTCATTTATCAAAGCTTCTTTTTTTGAAAGGATGGACTATAGAAGAAAATGAACACAAATATTTTCAACTCTGTCAAAGATGTTTGAAAAACGGGAGTTGTTATTTTTCTCAATGTAATAGCACGATAAAGACCAAAGTAGATTGTTCAAACAAAATGACGACAGAAATAACTCATGCGGGAAATGTTTCGATGAGTAAGGAACGAACAACATCTTTAACTATAACAACGCATTTCATGGAAAACCACACAGCAACCCCAAAAACATCAGTGCTAACAGCAGCAGAAACAAATCCTCAAGAGACGACATTCAATGAAAGGACCAGTACAATACTTCAGGAACAGACATTTTCAGAGAGCTCAGGAAGACCGAACAATGAGCAACATTTGATTGGTATATAATGCACTACTATATTAATTTCAAAACGTCACGGTTTAACGATGAATCGTTTTTTATAAACTTTTGCATAATTTGTTAAAGAATATAAGACATGTAACTGAAATATATGTTTAAGGGTTCTGAAAATGCACACTGTTTATTTGCAGATGACGATGGTACTGTGAGCAGTTTGATTCCTATCATTCTAGGAATTGTGTTACCGGCATCCGCGATTATATTGCTAATAATATATATCAGGTATTTATAGTTTACCTGCCACAATATTAAAGATATAATGTTAAACACGTTAAAACGTGATCACACATGATTTGCTAGAAATACATTAATTTTACAGAATACACGTATTTGTTATTTAATCTTTGACAACAATGAAGTAAAATTATTCAGCGGATTGAAGGAAATGTACGTTAAAAGAAACATAATTATTCTAAATATTGTATGTTCAAATGGAACAAGTTACGTGTATGATAAGCATATACCGCGGTAGTTTCAGAAAAAAAATTAATACGTATGTTCTCAATAACTCATAAAAAAGCTGTTTTCTATTCCACGCATAACCAGTTAGGTAGAGTAAAGTTAATTCACAGTAATTATTTGTGTTTCAAATAAACGATGCATACCACAAATAATTTTCTTATCTTCCGAATGAAAGAATTACTCTACAATTTTCCCCAGAATTTGCAGTGTTTGGTTCTAATTAGTAGTATATAGGGGGACATTATACCCCACTTTTTGAGGTTCAAAATTGAGGTTCAGTGTAGACCAGGAAGGTAATTAGGGAGGACCGTAACAGGAAGTCAATAAGTAGTATCAATGCGAGGATTAGAATGATGAACAACCTTTCTTCGTTATTAATTTGATTTCATTTGATTTATGAAGATATCCAACACAATTTGCACACTGTGGTTAATTAAAAGAATTGGTGATCAAAAAATTGATTTTGATTAAGATGAAAAAGTGTATAAGATTTTTAAATGAAGTGATAATAATTAACATTCCTTACGAGGACCGTAAAGGAGAGTGGATGATGTTAGCTATAGACAGATGTCGGTTTAAGACACGAATCGAGAGAGTTTCCCCAATGATTGATTTAGTTGCTCAAGAAACATTTAAAACTTATATCGAGTAACATAAATGGAAATCCATGTATTCAGACCGGAAAACGATTACACCCGTAAACAAAAATATTGTACAAGTCAGCATTAACACACAATGTGATGAAGGACAACCCATCAATTCCGGTCTAGCAAGATGAATACATTATGAATCGGATATGACGACCATCCTATTCCGTTTCCGGAACGGACTTTAGTGTTCCGTCATTTGACCAGCAGTATTCACGGTGACAACATGTTTTCTTCTTGCTGTAAGTTATCGTTAGAAAATGGGCGCTTCGTGGAGGTATACACGACGAAAGACAACGAATACAGAGTAGATCTACGCGAATGGGAATCCGATCGATATCCTAGCCGCAAGGGAATAAGTTTAAAACCAGACATTTTTAAAACATGGACAATGGCTTTAGACATGATTGATAACGCTTTGAACAAGAATGAAGAGTTACATTACCACATGGGATCCAACATTTTTTGCACAATTAAAAAGGACAATCCATGTGTGGACATTCGCCAGTACTGGCAACCAGTAGGCCAAGAACCACTTGCTCCAACGAAAAGGGGACTTTGTCTTCGCTCGATCGAGT